AAAAAAAAAAAAAAAAAAAAAAATCATTAGGAAATGCAAATTAAAACAATGAGATGCCACTACATGTCCTTCAGAATGGCCAAAATCTAGAACACAGATACCACTAAATATCAATATTTGGTGGCAAGGATAAGAAGCAAACAGAACCATCATTGCTGGTGGAAATCCAAAATGGCAGAGTCGTTTTTTGGAAGATGACAGTCATTTTCTAAGCTAAAATAATCTTACCCCAGTGAACTGAACACTATGTCCACACAAACACCTGCCCAGGAAATACTGTAGCAGCTTTATTCACACTTGCCCTAAATCAGAAACTACCAAGAAGTACTTTCAATAGGTGAACAAATAAATTGGCACACTCAGAGGAATTTTTTCAGTGGCGAAAAGAAATGAACTGTCAAGTCATGAAAAGACATGAAGAAAACGCAGGTACATATTTCTAAGTGTGAAAGCCAGTCTGAAAATGTTATTCTGTATGATCACAACTTAGCAACCGTCTGACACTCCGGAAAGGGCAAAATTACAGAGGAATAAAAGATTTGTCGTTGCCAGGGGTTGGGGCAGGGGAATAGGGCACAGGAGATTTTTAGGGCAGTGATATTTTATAATATTTTAACTGGATACATGGCAGTGTGCATTTATCAAAACCCATAATGTAAACCCTTATGTAAACTATGGGCTTTGATTATCACATTATCAATATAAGATATAGCTACATAGATAGTGTGGGTATTTTTTGTTCAAATTTTTTTGTAAATCTAAAAGTGATATAAGAAGTAAGGTCAGTTAACTATTTTTTCTTAAGTAAGAGCTAAAGCTAAAAGGAAAGAACTGCGCGCTCAGGCAGGACTCGGCCGTGCGGCGGGGCGCGCGGCACCCGCTGGGAAGCTGCGGAGCGCACGGCGGCCAGGAGCCGGGGGCCAGCGCGGCGCTGACCGCGTCGTCCTCCCGCGCGTGCGCTTGCCCTGCCCCTCACTTCGCCTCTCCCCTCCGTTCTCCTTCCGATTCCTAGAAACTGCTGGCCCCGCCGGCAAGGCCCGCCGCCCGCCCGCCCGCCCGGGACCTGCGCGGGGCGGAGCTGCTTCCTTGGCCGCCGATGCCCGCCCGGGGCCAGGACGAAGTGGAGGCCGCCGGGTGGCGCAGTCCCGTTCGGCCAGGGAAACGCAGAGGGGAGAGCGGACGGGGCCCCAGCGCGGGTCCGACCCGACACCTACGGCAGGAGCTGGGGCCGCGACCGGCCTCGGAGCCTCTCTCCCCGCCCCCTCACCCGACCGCGCGTCTCCCCGCGGAGGGCCCCGGCCGTGTGCAGCCACAGCACGCGCGGCGAGCAGCGGGCGTGCGGGCGCTCTCCGCTACCGCCCAGCCCTGGGGCTGCGAGCGCTCCGCCCCGGCGCGGCCGCCCGCCCAGCACTTACAGCGGTCCTGCTGCTTCTCACTTCTAGGACCTGGGACCGCAGGAGCCGGGTACCCTCTTCCGGACGCTAGCGCCCGCTGCCCTGGCAACCGTCACCAGGGAAACCAGCAGCGTCGCGAGCAAGACGTCATGACGCCTCTACGGGGACCGACAGAGCCCAGAAAGTTTTGAAAGTGACCTGCGCTGCTGGCCAGGTTTCGGCGGTGTGGAAATAGACGTGGTGGACTGGACAAAGGGGATCGTGGCCTTAGAGTTTCTCAAGTGTATTTCTGAAAAGTCATGGGTCAGACGTTCCGCACAGAGGCGCCCACTCTGGTGTCCTGCAAGGGAGCTGGAAAGTGGACGATTTCACAATAAAATGTAAGTGAGCCAGAGTACCTTTGAAAAATGTAAAACCGGGTGGGGAGTTTCCCAGGATGAAAACGGAAAAAAAAAAGACAGAGAGAGAGGAAAAAAATGACGCAAGATAGAAACGCTAAGAGAAGCAAGTTGTGTTTCTTCAAATTTGGCATCAAAAGGAGACTGCAATAAATATTAAAAGTGGTTATATTTGACGGATGGAATTGCTGTTTTCATTTTTGCACCTTAGACGATCTAAAAATAGCGAACATGGTTATTTCCCTAAAGGATGACACTTGGGCGTTTTTTGAAAACAGGCTCCCCAATTTAAGACACTACTGTCTTTCAGGGCCACAGAGGGGGTGGGAGGCAAAGCTTAAGGAAGAACGATCCAGGGAGATTTCCAGAGAGTCACCAGGCTTTTGTTTTGTGTTGTGTTTTGTTTTGGTCTTTTTGAGACAGGGTCTCGCTATACAGTTCAGGTTGGCCTTGCGCTGGTCTCGAACTCACAACGATCCTCCTGTCTCAGCCTCCCGAGTGCTGGGATTACAGGCGTGCACCACCATGCCCGGCACCAGGCTTTTATAAAGTAAAATGTTACCGGATTCAAGGGTATCCTTCCAGAGTTAGTTTCTAGGTTCTTCTGGTTTTGAGCAAAGAATTGGACAAAACAAGCACGAGAGGTTTTACGTTTATGAAAGGAAGGGAGAGAAACGTGCTGCAGAGCGAGCTTGGGCCAAGTAAAAGTAGGAAGGAAGGTACACTCCACATTCGGACGCAGGCTACCGTTAAAGAGTATGCACAGCCGCCTGGCGCAAAGGCGGCCCTTTTGTATCCTCCACGTACAGCGCGGGCCGGTCTAGGCCAGCCTATCAGAAACCTGCTGGGCTTCTCGCGAGAAGTGAAGACGCACACTGATTGGTCCCACGTGCAGGGCTTTGGCGTCCTGGGAGTTTGTAATTAACAGATGACGCCCACTTCCCCGGCCAGTTTGCCACGCCCTAACCCGCCTCATTCCTGAGGTTAATTTTTTCCCTAAATTAATTCCCCATACTTAGGCTAGGGTCAGCTCTCTCAGGCATAAGCTCGGGGGCGTTCTGTTTAAAGGAAGACTGGGTCTTTCTCATTGGTCCCCCTTGCCTGCCTGTGGAGCTGAGGCTGAGGGAGCTGAAAATCTGTGAGGACAAAGGGACAAGACAGCGTGGGGAAGTGGTCACTCCTGACCACAGGGGATGACGGGCGCGGGATGACAGAGCTACTAAGGGCTTCTGCTAAAGCCCTGCATCCCAGCTTTCCACTGAGACTGATCATGCTGCGGCCCCGTTAGGGGTGCAGAGCAAGTGCTCTCACCTGCTGTTAGGGAACTTGGGAAGGCTGCGTGGGAGTGGGGTGGTGGTGGGCGCTGTGCTCACAGACAGGCCAGTGGCCCATTCTTCAACACTAGGTACATTTTTTCTCTAAATTTGTTACTTTCCCACTGCTACCACGGCGCTCTCCTGTCGTTAGTCTCTCAAGAATTCAGTTTATAAACTTGACATTTTACCATCCAGGGAGCCAAAAAAAATCTGCGTCACCAGGTACTTCCTCTTGTAAACTGTACAGATATTAATCCTAGCTGACATTCTGTTTCTCTGATTAATCAGAATTACTTGTAGGGCACTGCTCATGTTGGTTTGCTTTAGTCTGAAAAAATTACTGGGATTATTACATTACATATCCGGTTGTTTAAAACAATACAGAGATCCCCATATCCCTTACATGTTTCATCCAGTGGTAACATTTTGAAAAACTATAGGACTGTATCACAATCAGGATACTGACATTGATAGAATCCACTGAGCTTAAGATTTGCCCAGTTTTACCGCATTCATTCTTCTTGTGTATTTAACCCTACATGATTTTATCATGCTTAGGTCTGTGCAGCCACCACCAGTTAATACACCAAACAGTATCACAGGGAGCCCTCTGCTGCACTTGTATAACCACATCCGCTCTTCCCTGTGCCCCCTGCTCCCATCACAAAAGCACCTCATGAAACCACCCTCCATTCCTAACGTTGTAATTTCAAAATGTTATATAAATGAAACAATATAGCATGTGACCTTTTAGACTGATTTTAAAAAACTCAACAATTTTCTGGAGATTCACCCACATTATATCAACAATCCATTCCTTTTTACTACTGTTATGGCTTGTGTCTAGATACCGCCTCCCAAAGCCTCACGTGGTCATAGGTGGCCGGATCTAGGTGGTGGTGCTTGGATTAATTCATGGTGCAGTGCTAAACTCAAGGGCACTAAGATTAAGGGTGTGAGTGCTACCCACAGTAAGTAGCCTGGATAAAATATAAGGGATAGAGGCTGGGCATGGTGGCATGTCTGTAATACCAGCACTCTGGAGGCTGAGGCAGGAGTACTGCTTGAGTTCCATGACAGCCTGGGCTACAAAGTGAGTTCAAGGACAGCCTGAAAGACATATATATATAAATATTCTATAATATACATATCATACATTACATAATATATCATATATTACATAATATATTATATATTGCATAATATATCATATATCACATATCATACACCATTATATTATTACATGATATATGTAATCATATTACACATTACATATTATGCAATATATGCACATCTTACATGATATATGTAATAATAATATATACATAATATATGATTACATATGTATTACATTACAATACGTATGTATTATATTACAATATTACATAATATATGTATAATAATAATATGATATATCATATATATCACATATTACATAATATATGATATATAATACATTTATATATATATATATATATGAAGAAGAGCTGTGGTTGTCTCTCTGCTTTGCTACCTTCTACCCTCCCTGAACTTTTCCTTTGCAATACCTGTCTGCCTTTCCACTCTGCCCTGCAGCCAGCTGATTATGGACTGAAACCTCTATAAACTGTGAGCTAAACCTTTCCTGCCCTAACTTGTTAGCGTTGGGTATTTTGTCTCAGCAAGGAGAAAAGTAACGAAGACAACTGTTAGGTGGTATTCTATGGTATGGATATACCACTATTTTTTAACCACAACACCCCTGAGGGACATCCAGGCTATTTTCAGTTCAGGGTGGTCATGAGTAAGTGGCCATAAACATTCATATACACGTTTTTGTGTATGTGAATGTAAGTTTTCATTTCTGTGGAATAAATGCCCAAGACTGCAGTTGCTAGGTATAAGGCAATTCTGTATTTAGTTTCATAGGAAATCACCAAGCAGCTTCCAGAGTGATTTATCATCTTACATTCCTACAAAAGCGCATTTCTCAACACCCTTGCCAGCGTTCACTGTTTTTATTTGGGCCATTCCATTGGGTGTGCAGTGACATCTTACTGTGGTCTGTTGTGTACGAGGATAATGATGCTTGTTTACCACCTGTGCAGTCCCCCTCCCCTTAACGATGGGGATGCGTTGAGGAATGCGTTGTGAGGTGATTTGGGCCTGGTGGGAGCATCATCAAGTGCATGTACACAAACCTGCACGGAGCACCTAACTACACCCCTTGGCTTGTGGCGTAGCCTATTGCTTCTGTGGGCTGCACACCTGTACACTCCTTGTGCAGAACACTGTAGGCAACTGCCACACAATGGTATTTGTGTGTTTAAATGTAAGTAAACATAGAAAAGGTATGGTAAAATACATGAGACAAAAAACATTTGTTCGTATGAGCTTTTCATCTTTTTAATTTTGCTAATTTTAAGAACACTTTTTGTAAACAAACAAAGACACCAGCACACACATTAGACTGGATGACACAGGGTCAGGGTAAGCAAGATCCATCCTCCTCTCCACATCCTGTCCCACTAGAAAGTCTTCAGGGCAGCGACACACACAGCTCTCACACCCTGGGATGACAGTGCCTTCCAGAACCCTCCTGGATTCCTGTCTGAGGCTCTTCTTGAAGAGTATCACTTTTCAGATATGCCAGTATGATGTTCTTTGCAGAAAACCCTCCATCATCCATCCAGCCTGTTACTGGCTGAAGCATCATTATGTGGTCTATAACTTTTTTCTTTGGGGAAATGTTATTTATATCTTTTGCCCAATTTCTACCCATTGAATTTTGAGCTTTTTTATTTATTTTTTGAGGCAGAGTTTCCTATGTAGTTCAGGCTGCCTTTGAACTCACAGCAATCTTCCTGCCTCAGCCTCCCAAGTGCTGGGATTACAGGCATACATGACCATGCCTGCCATGAGAATTATTTATATATTCTATATACTAGTCCTTTGTGGCATATATGGTTTGCTAATATTTGCTGTAGCTTCTTTACCTGGGCTTTCACAGAACAGAGGCTTTTATGACATCCAACTTACCAATTTCTTTCTCTTTTGGATTATACTTTTGATGTTAAGTCTAAGAACTCTGTCTGACACTGGATCTCACATTTTTAAAGTCTTTCCTTACGCTGAGTGAAAAAGCCAGATTCAAAGGGACAGCTATTGTACAAGTCCGCCTGTATTAATGAGGTGTCTGGAATGGACAGGTTCACAGAGACGCCAAGTAGAAAGAGGCTGCTAGGAGCGGAGAAAGGGAGCCGCAGCCACTGCCAAGCATACGAGCTCCATTTGGGAAAGGGCTCAGGGACTGGGCGAAGGTGATTACGTGTGGCGTTACGAGTAGACTCAGTTCCTCGCATTATACTCTTCTAATGGCTCAAGTGGTACATTTTTTTTTTATTTTAAAGAATAAAAGAAGGATAACATAATAATAGGGGGGACTTAGCAAATTACAGACAAAATGGTAGGAAATTATCAATGGTTATCGTTTTACATATTATTATCCACAAAATAGTTTCTCAGGAAAACAAATAGACAAATAATAGTGAGTTAGAGACAAAAGAGGTAGGAGATTATCAAGAGTTGTTGTGCTATACTTTGGTATCTTCAAAGTGGCTTCTAAAGAAAATAAATAGAGCTATACATGAGTGACCTATTGAAAAATCATTAACTATTCTCAATGGTTGTTGTAGGAAACACATAATAATAAACATACATTATGAAATAGGATAGGAACAATACAAACTTAACACAGTTATGGATAGATTAGTAGGAAAATATCAATGGCTGCTGTAATACATGGTGGTATCTTCAAAGTGGTTTCTCAGGAAGACAGAGATATGCAAGAAGGATCTTGCATAATAAGTAGTTACAG